CTTTTTTATCCACTTAAAACTAGCGACGCCTTTAATCCCCACACAGATATACTTACGCAATCTAATTCCTGCTTTACTTGCTAACACATACATAAAGAGGGGATTACAATATTTTTCTGACTCATTCCAGCCTATTTTATCAATCTATCAAATCCATTAACATGAGAAAACACAATAGATTTTGTTGCTAGATTGTATATTAAATCATAATTTTACAATGTAATTATGCAGAATTCTACCGTAGCTGTGTAAAAGGTGCTGAAAATAGGAGATAATAAGACGAGTCAATAGCTAAACCTCGTTTATACTCGAGAAATTTAGTAATAAGGACAAATTTATAATATTCTTTATTACGTTCATCAAACTCCTGACTGACTGCTTAACTTTGATCCTGTTTTAATCTCTGGGTTCTGATCTACTATTAACGCTGAAGCCTATTTCTCCTAACTTTCCTAATATTAATGTCATCGATACTAAATTGACTTTCCCAAGCGAATTCCCTTGTTAATCATCTTCTGGTCTAATTATTACAACGTAGCATCAAAAAATCCAATCCCCTTGATACAATGATATTCCAGACAGATTAATTGCTTTATAGCTCAGCACAAGATGATCCAATTATTTATTACGAATCTAATACCCAGCTGCTTTGAGCTTCTTAGCATGATTATTTGATACCTGAGATATTCTATGGCATGAGGTATTCGCCATTGTTTTTAACTCAATTCTAGTTTTAATTATAAAAAAGGTAATCTTCCCTTCTAAATTCTTATCTCACAAATCATGACTCTCGAGGTTCTATGACAAATATAGCCTATACATACTAAAGAAGCTAGGGATAATCTTATAAAATGGACAAAGTTTTTTTTGAAAACGAATGGGTTTGAATTTCGAACCCATTAAATTTTATGTTGGTAAGTCTATAAAAGATTGGAATCTGAACCCTTCCTGCGTATACAAATTATAATTGAATATCGCAAAGCCCTTAATTTTCTCATATAATTGTCATTAATTATTGAATTTTGTGAAAAGAAGTCCAAGGACGGCATCGAATCTGTGCTGGGCTTAGGATTGAGGCGTGAAAGACTTTGCGAGAGCATGAAAGCAAAAACGGATCCAGAATAAATCAGAATTCTAACAATTTTGGCTGGGAGAAATTCTATTTAATTATCAAGACAATATACAAATCCCGATCAGCCAATTTTCCTTATGATAAAAAATGATTAAGGGAATGTAGAAGTGTTCTGACCCCATTTCCGAAATTTAGCGCGTCGCCTTGGTAGTCACGATAAATTTCAGTGTCCGACCTTGGACTTTTTATATGCCCAGAAGTTTCGTCACTGCCATCAGTGAGAGTAGATAGTCTTGGCATCAAAGTACAACTCTTCATAGATTCAGGTGAACCTCAAATTTATGTAAGACAGTTGTATTACCTTTCCTGTCCTGATACATTCACCCACCATATATCCTCTTATCGCAATCCCTATCAGCTTCCAACTCGCTTATTTTCGCCTATTTCAGATGCGGATTATATGAGGCCCATTAACCCTCCCTGTCGGTTTTCCTATCTTCCCTATTCTTGCGGAAATGCCTACCCAAGGTCGTTAGAGACTCTCTTGTTCCTCTGCAACCCGAGGTATTTCCTATAATCTGACTTCGCTCGAAAGCACGTACATTGTAGTCACACAGAGAAGAGTATATTCTCAAGCTGGACGAAGGACTAATCCAATACTTTTGTTTCACCTATATCAGTTTGATCTGTGTACCAGGTTTATCTCATAGTCAAGCTCTAGCATAACGTACATGTTAGTGATAAAACCCGTGTAGTGTGGGCCAGCAGATTCAGGTCTCATTCTGGTTCATTTTGCCTCGTGCTTATTTCCATATTCTTAAGTATTACTACCATAATCCATATTCGTCTGTGTAACATTGCAAGTAAGTGCTTCGAAATTTTTGTCAGCTAATGGTTCAGGTTAGTTAAGATATAAATTACAATGCTCCA